CCCAGTAAGCTCTGGATGCTCTCAGTGCTCTGGCCGCATGATTTTATTCCCCAAACAGGTTTAGCTGTGAGGGGTTCTTACTCCTTTGAAAGGGCGGGCCGCGTGATTTTGCATGTGTCTCCCGGTTTGTGTTCCTGCCACACGAATGATGTTGCAGCTGTCTCTCACTCTGAGCCGCATGATTTTACACTTGTCTCCCGCTTGTCACTTGTCTCCCTCGTCTTCCTGTCTCCAGTACACTCTGCTGCTCTGGCCGCGTGATTGTACACTTGTCTCCCACTTGTCTCCCTTGTCTGCCTCCCCCTTGTCTCTCCCTGTCTCCAATACACTCTGGGTGCTCTGGCTGCATGCTTTTGCACTTGTCTCCCACTTGTCTCTCCTTGTCTCCAATACACTCTGGGTGCTCTGGCTGTATGCTTTTGCGCTTGTCTCCCTCTGGGTCCTCTGGGCCGCGTGAGATGTTTCCTCTGCCTACTCTGGATACACTTGGCCGGATGTTTGTTTTTACACCTGTCTCCACTGGTCTTCCACTTTTTCGGCCTACTTTGGATTACACTTGGCCGGTTGCTTGTCTTCTTGCTTCTATGCTCTCGGTTGGATGAGTTTACACTTCTCTCCCTGCTTGTCTCCCTTCTTGCTTCACTTGTCTCCAATTGTCTCGGCCTGCTCTGGATACGCTTTTACACTTGTCTCCGCTTGCCTCTTCGCCTGCTCCCTGCTTAGACACTCTTGGCCAAGTGGCTTTACGCTGTCCCACTTGTCTCCCTGCTCGTCTCCCTTCTTGCTACACTTGTCTCCACTTGTCCCCGTGCTTGTCTCCCTCGCTTCTTCACTTGTCTCCCTTCTTGTGTCCCTGCTTGTCTCACATTTTGGTTGAAAGCTTTTAACATCTTTTAGCCAAACAATCATGATAAAGCCACATGTCAGTACAACTCAGCATATTCAGTAGATTTGCGTTCTATTTCGTCTGAATTGTCGGTTGTGACCTTGAGCCAATTGAGCCAAGTGCTGAAACACGCCCAGAAGGTCCGAGCTGATCACCGCGAGCTGGAACGGTTTGAACCGTTGACGGTTTGACAGTTCGTCTCTGTGTTTAACTTCATAAACGCACAAACTGTTTGGTGTCTACGCTGGTATAATTTTGTTATGTTTTATTTGTCTTTCTTGCATGCTCTTGCCTTTGCTGCTGTGCAAAGCAAAAAAGGATTCTGCGCCTCTTTGGAGGTTGACTGTGCAGCCCGTACATCATCTCTGGACAGCTTCAAAACCTGCAAACAAATTAGAATGCGATGCTGGAGAGGAAGGACAATCGCACATGGCAATAGCAAATGAAAGAACCTCGTAGCATCTTTCCAGCGACATACTGCGGGGATCGGGTCCACCTTCAGCCTGTGCCAGAGATGACAGTAAGAGACACAAAAAACTGGACAAGCGTCCTGGAACAAAGACTTGAAAATACTTGAAGCACTTCACTCACAAAAGAACACGTGCCGGAAAAATGTCTTCTGCTCACATCCATGTAAATATCAACGGACCAAAAATACTACCTGTCGCCAGGCCTTTTGGATGCCACCTGTCTCCGAGATTGCTGCAGAGGTGATAAGCCTCACATCAGGTCATGTGGACCTTCACTTCGCATTCATGTTTCCTCCGAAATGGCGTTGTAGAGCATCTTTCGCGCTGTTCCCTTGGTTTTGGGGGGGTTGGCGTGTGAAGAGCCTGCTTGCAGCCAAGGGCACTTCGTGGCCACCGCTTGCCGTGTCGCTATATCACGGCCCAGGTTCTCCATCTCCTGATTGTCGGCATCAACTGATGCATGGCCGATGGTATGAGGCGGTCATATCTGTCTGAGGATGGCGGATGGCACAATATGAAAACATATGATATGAAAACCAATCATGAGACGGTTTGGGATGCACAAATATCACAAAGTCGTGTGATTGATTGAACATCAAAAAACAAAAAGACATCCCCTGTATTTCCCCGGTGGAATTTGTTGTAAAGTGGCCTTTTGGTCGCCAATGATGTCTGCCTTGGTTGCAGCATCAAGATTTGTTGCTTCAGCATGCTTTCTTGCGAAAGTTGCAGCGCGTCAGCCTTTTTGGCAGTGAGTCAATCGTCTTAGCAGCTCGAGCAACACAAAAATGCATAGCGATGCGAAACTATCGTTTGGGTCTATCCCAATACCTGCAACAGTGGATGATGATGGTTAGTAAAGGCCTTGTTCAAAACTAGTAATTATTGTTTACTGACTGTTACAGGTTATAATAGGACAGACCCAAACTATCGTGTTTCGCAGACTCCAAACATGAACAAGCTGCGAAGTGCCCACGTGAGGCATCCCACAGAATCACTTGCCCACGAGGTGGAGTTCCCTGCAGTCCGACATTTCAGAGATCAGGAATGGTAACCGACCAGGAGTCTGAAATAATCTGAACCTGGGGGAGAATGGCGAATGGCGGATGCAAACACCTAGCTCTGGATCGAATTGCCTGATCGCTTCGGAACCCAAGCTGCAGCTCCCACAAAGGAGAGACCTGGCAATGTCTCAGTCTCCAATTGATGAACATTGGAACTTGTTCAATTCGACATGCTCTTGGTGCCTGCACTGCACCAGGAAGGCTGCGCCGAAGCAAATGGAGCCAGCTTGGGATCAAACCAACGACCTCGATGTGCAAAAAGCGAGTCCTTTTCGTCCTCTGTCATGTCTGTCATTTTGTCGAAGCAATGAATCGAATCCGTTGCCTGAAAGCACCGGTGCAGAATGCCTCCCACGGAGGGTGGCTTCGGCTCCTGACCTCACGATGTTGGCAAATGCTCGTCCAAACAACATCAAAAAACCAGTCATCCTTATCTCCACTTGGCCTAAAGCCCTATGGAATGGAATTGCATATTATAAATGAATCATGTGCCTGAGCCAATACCCACCAGATTTGTGAGCAGCAGCAGGGGCTGGAAGAGCCTGCGGCAGGATCTTCTGTCTGTACGAACGAAAGAACCAATGCAAAGGCCACGCCGCAACGCCAGGCCTGGAAAAGAAAGTAAACTTTTCTGGAAGGTAGATAAACCTCAGAGAGGAGGAACTGGATGCTACTAGAGGCTTCTGGCCTTACCAGGAGCGATCGGACGCTACTAGGGGCTCCTGGCCGTACTACCAGGAGCAAGGACGCTACCAAAAAGAGCACTTGTGCCCAGGAACCAGTTCATGGTGATGATGACCTTCCCATCGTCAAGCGCTCGCGGCTTGAGCTCGGGCCTACAGGAATTCAGCTGCTCTCTGTCGACGTTGCGTCTGAGATGCAAAGGGCCGTACCGAAAGGAAGGAATCCAACCGACCACCGACCACCCCGACCGACCAACCGGCAGGACCGACCCGCCGGACCGACCCGCCGAGGTGTCGTCCCGAGGCTCTGGCGCTTCTTCTGCGAGGTCCTTCTCCAAGCCGATGATAAACCGTCCATTGGGATCAAAGAGCTCCGTCATGGCAGGATGCCGCCGGAAGTTCCGCCTCGGGCAGTGCATTGAAGAAAGGAACCATGCGAGACACACGCAGTAGAACACCGACTACCTGAAGCCGTTTGTTTGAGTTAAAATCCAACCCTGTCCATTCTGCGTCCCAAACGCGTGATGAATACAGCACTCAACTCAACAGTTTAGCCATGAAGCAAGGAAACTACAGCCACATAGACGCCGTACGCAATGGCCAGTGCCTTAGTCTAGTGACTACAGCATCTGCTTTTGGAAGACAAAGACCCAAAAACAAACACTCAAACAAATTGTGGCTTAAGATGTTTCTTTAGAGTCAACCATCCATATGAATTGTTTGTCCGACTTTGCTATGTGACCCGGTGATCAGGATGACTACAAAATTCGGGCATGTGTGCAATTTCCATGTTGGAAATAGTATACTGCAGGGTTTGTTAGCGTCTAGTGCAAATGGCTGCTTGAAAACAGGAAGCTGGTTGAGCTAGTTACTGGATGCTGTGAACTAAGCAACAACAAAATTTCCAGACGTCTTGTGCTTGTGTGTATATATATACAGTATGTGTGTGTGAAACCCGTGGAGTCACAAGGAACTTTTTGGTTTTGAGCAGGGGACGGGTCACCGCTGACACTGCCCGTCCGCCGAAGAGGGTATCAGTTGGTGCTGATGCAGTGGGGGACGCCCCACTGTGTACTTGCTCTACTATTTAGGAAAACAGAAGGAAATGGCACTCGACACACTTGTGTGTCGGTGCCTTTCCTTCTGTTTTTCCTCTCTTCTACTCTACAGGTTTGCAGGTAGGCCTACAAACTTGTAACGTGGGCCTTTAACCTGAATTCGTTGGCCTCCAACCACTCGCATTGGCCTCTAACCTTGGCTGTCTTGTGTTTCTTGTCACCAACCTACTAGCGATGGCCCCCGACCTGGTTTCCATGGCCTCCAACCTAAGAGCGATGACCTCCAACTTTGACTGTTTCCCAGTCTTGTTTCTTGTTTCTTGTCACCAACCTACTAGCGATGGCCCCCCAACCTGCCTTCGACGGCCTCCAACCTAAGAGCGATGACCTCCAACTTTGACTGTTTCGCAGTCTTGTTTCTTGTCACCAACCCACTAGCGATGGCCCCCCAACCTGCCTCCGACGGCCTCCAACCTAAGAGCGATGACCTCCAAGTTGTTTGCCTCGTTTTACTCAGGCCCTTTTTGACCTCGGTTGGCGAGTGGCAAGCCGTAACCAGATCCGTATTATATAGTCGTTGCGCCCCCTGCCCGGAACGCAGGCGTCCGAAGCGGACAGCATGAGGCTTATGCCAAAGTTATTTGCCAAGACTTGATGGATTATTGAACTCCAAGTGGGCAGTCTTCGGACAAGCCATGAGGTGACCACAGCGGTCAGCAGTAGGCAGCCTTCGGGCACGCCACCACGTGGTTGTAGCGACCAAAGCTTGTTCAAGGTTCAGTGGAACCTGCCGGGACCTTAAACCCCCTTCCTCCCCCTACGTACGCCCTCTTCTCTCTTTCTTTGCCTTTTGGGGTACTCCTGAATGCAACGCTCAGGTACACCCCTCTCCTTGTATCCCTGGACGCTTGCTCGTAGCTGGGAACACCTGTCCACTTCCTTTTCTTCCCTCCTTTTTCCCTCTCTGTCTTTCTTTCTTTCTTTCTCTCTCTCTCTCTCTCTCTGCCTCTCTCTCTCTCTCTCTCTTTTTCTCTCTCTTTCTTTTTTCTCCCCCTTCCTTCTTCCTTGGGCGTCGCTGGATGCTTTCGTCATAGCTGGGAGCCCTTCCTTTTTGGTGTGTCCTTGGATGCTTGGGTCGTCGCTGGGAACACCTTCGTTTCTTCCTTTCTCTCCTTCTCTTTTCTTCCTCCTTCCCCCCCCCTCCTTTCTCGCGCGTGGCGTGCCTACAAGCAAACAAGGCTTCTGCAACACGTTTTTCAATGAGGTTTGGTCTGTCATCGGTTTGTCCCCTTTCATTTGGTTCCCTCTTCATTGGCAGATGTCCTTCTGTCTTCATGTCTCGTCATCCTCATCCTTGCTTTTCTCTTGTGCGCATTTTCGCCCGGGCCTTAGCTTGTACACATACACGCACGCGTATTCTACTTTCAACTTGGTTCAGGTGCCCCAGGTTTGTTACAATGAAGTTTGGCTCATCGGTTGTCCCTCTTCACTTGGTTCCTCTTCGTCGGCAACCACACACACACTCTTTGTCTGTCTCGTCTCTTTCATTTTCATGTGTCTCCGTTGCGTGCACATGTGCTTCGCACAGCCCCTTTCCGGGCAGGATGGGGGTGCCTCCTTTCCGGGCAGGATGGAGGCCAAGCATGCCTCCCTTCGGGGGGGCGCGTGTGTGAAACCCTTGGAGTCACAGGAAACCTTTTGGTTTTGAGCAGGGGACGGGTCACCGCTGACACTGCCCGTCCGCCGAAGAGGGTATCAGTTGGTGCTGATGCAGTGGGGGACACCCCACTGTGTACTTGCTCTACTATTTAGGAAAACAGAAGGAAATGGCACTCGACACACTTGTGTGTCGGTGCCTTTCCTTCTGTTTTTCCTCTCTTCTACTCTACAGGTTTGCAGGTAGGCCTACAAACTTGTAACGTGGGCCTTTAACCTGAATTCGTTGGCCTCCAACCACTCGCATTGGCCTCTAACCTTGGCTGTCTTGTGTTTCTGGTCACCAACCTACTAGCGATGGCCCCCAACCTGGTTTCCATGGCCTCCAACCTAAGAGCGATGACCTCCAACTTTGACTGTTTTGCAGTCTTGTTTCTTGTTTCTTGTCACCAACCTACTAGCGATGGCCCCCAACCTGGTTTCCATGGCCTCCAACCTAAGAGCGATGACCTCCAACTTTGACTGTTTTGCAGTCTTGTTTCTTGTTTCTTGTCACCAACCTACTAGCGATGGCCCCCAACCTGGTTTCCATGGCCTCCAACCTAAGAGCGATGACCTCCAACTTTGACTGTTTTGCAGTCTTGTTTCTTGTTTCTTGTCACCAACCTACTAGCGATGGCCCCCCCAACCTGCCTTCGATGGCCTCCAACCTGAGAGCAATGACCTCCAACTTTGATTGTTTTGCAGTCTTGTTTCTTGCTTCTTGTCACCAACCTACTAGCGATGGTCCCCCAACCTGTCTTCGACGGCCTCCAACCTAAGAGCGATGACCTCCAACTTTTTTTGCCTCGTTTTACTCAGGCCCTTTTAACCTAGGTTGGCGCGTGGCAAACCGCAACCAGATCCGTACGCATTTAATAAGTGTGTGCGCGCGCATATGTGAGAGTGACGTGTGTGTGTGTGTAGCCACAATGACCATGCAAGGCCGCAAACCCATAATTGAGGAGATCTGTGCAAGAGACTACAGACAGAGTGAACAGCCGATGTAGTTAAAACTCTCCCGAGCTATGTTATTGCATTTTAAGTTAATATACAACTACTGTGTTTAATGAATTTTTAATGCTATTAGCTGCTATATCTATAATGCTATATTGATAGATCCTGAGTGTTAGGCTATGACCAGCACGACCAGCAGTGACAGCCGCGCAAAGGTCAGCTGCTGTGGCAGGCGTTGCTCATCAGCCACCGTGCCCTGAACCAAGAGCGCCTCAACAGGGCATGACATGGAAGAAAACTGAAAGATACTGATTGAAAGACTCTTGGTGTTCCTTGAGGCGGATTAGCCATGAAGTGCCAACAGGCCAATCCTAACATATTGAAGGTTCTCCTGATAAATTATTGAAACGTATCATTGGGTCCCGAGTATCTGAGAATGTCTGAGACCTGATCACATCTGGGTGGCCCCGGCTAAGGGCAAGAGTCCTCCGCTTGCAGACCTGGGCTGGGGCACAAATGCTACAAACATCTGCAGTGGCCACTTCCAGTCGCAGTACAAGGACATTTGAAGGCTCTCGGGGCCCTCACCCCAAACCAAACTGCTTCTGTAGAAATGACCTGCATGCAAAGCAACACAAAACAAATCAAACCAACCTTACACGGAAATCAAGCCAACGGTGCTGCACAGTTTTGCTGCTACACAATGCTGCACACATGTGGCATGGTGAAAAACAAATGCACCGCCTGGCGCTGTGCCCCAATCGTTTTAAGCGTCCAAAGGCTGCCCGCTCTGGCACGAGTTGCACCAGCTTTAAGGGATTCGCTTCCCTTAGATGAATGGAATTCGGCGAAATGACTGAAGCCCCGGGTCTGAATCTAGAAGTCGCTAGAAGTCTGAAGTTCTCGACTGAAAGGTTAGCTTGCGAAGTGTCAGTGTGCCTTTGACTCAGCCGTATGCCGTATCCCGTATACCATCGTACACTCGTATACCTTGGCATATCCTTGGAAGAAAAAGAGAAGGTACTCAGCATCCTAATCAGCTGCATGAACACAGCCAGGCAGGGTAGAGACAAAGAATTCGTCTACGTCTTTCACTGTTAATTGCTTCCGAGCAAGCTATTCCAATTGATGAAGAAATTAACAATCTACCGCACTCGTAAGTCTTCCTTTCGACCTCTCTTTGTTGCCCGCGTGGTAGGTACGCGGTTCGTCGGTACGACCGACGCGGTGCTTCAAGGTCACGGAACTTTGCTCCAAGAATCTTTGGAACAAAAGCCAGCATGCCGATCCAGGGAGCGCCAGCGACCTCTTTTCCACCTTTCCCTTGCCTCAAAAAGAACGCGATTGCCCCGGATTGAGCCTTTCAACTCTTTGTCAACAAACTTGGTGCAAAGATGTCATCGATCGATTGATTGACCCTAATTCTTGGTTGTGAGGAGTTGCTATCATCAATTCTTTGTTTGGCCCTGACCATTTTTGAGATCTGACTGAAAGGAGCCTGGCCACGACATCACGAAAAAATGAAAACAACCTGAACATACCCGAACATTTGACAAAGGGTTTCATCGTGTTCTATGCTTGCACGTGCTCTGGCCGGGAATGAATTGAACAACAAAGAGTGTGTTTGCATTTTGCCAAGTGTCTTTGGCATCTTTTCACCCCAGGAGAAAAGCAACAGCTTTCCATCCTCCTGTGGAATCTGACGTCCAAAAGCCTGCCAATCTGGCGGTCACATCGGTGATACTTTGTTGTCTGATGTTGCTTTCGGACGCTGCCTGATTCATGAACGTTGACCATTCCTGCCAGCTCATCAGTGACAAGTGACAAGCAAGAACTGCAATGATCCAATGAACGGAAATAAAATCTGATTAGCCGCACTGGCCTGCGCTGAGGTCGTTTTCAAAGCCCTCTGCGCATCCTGGACTTCAGGCAAACCAGTTAATTCATGATTCAGAGGACCTGAAAAGTTACAGTGACGGAAATGACCGTCGAAACCTAGAGGTTGGCACAAACACGTAAGAACAGCCAAAGTGATAATTTGGCTGAGCAAACCTTTTAGGTTTCCACACCCACTTCAATTGAGGCTTATTGAATTTTCCATATTACTAAATGAGTCATAAAAAATGACAAAAGCATGGTTGACCACACCCACTTTAGGTTGTCGGTAGCAAGGGGGTGTTATAAGTAATAAATAGAATACTGTTCATGTTGAGTCTGCATTCTTTCATAGTTCCTTGGAGGGCAAACGTCGGTGGTCTCAGTCAAAAACACTCCTAAGTTTGTGCATGTGTCGACTTGTCAGCCTCAACACGCTCCGGCCGGATACGAGCTGGAAAACTGCCGACGCCATAGCCTGAGCTATACCTGCAAAAGAGACACTTCAAAGCCGATGCTATAGGCCAACTTCGCTCTGGAGAGAGACTAATCAAAACATATCAAAGCAAGCAGCGCATCCATTCAAGTTTCCTGGCATCCAAACACTTGTCATTCTTTCGTGTGAGTGCTTGGCCTCAAGACTTCTCGAAGCTCTTCCGCACCCAGCACTGGTTGTCGCCCGTGCAACGCATCCAGCGCAAGGCGCCGATGCAAAGCCAACACGCTGACGAGGAGAGTCGCAAGCACAGCCTGATGCTTCGATTGGGAGTCGACAATCGAAGACCATCGAGGACATGATGCTGTTAGTAACTGCGGATATACAAACAGTGTCAGTGTCAGAATGGATCGTGTTTTGAGAATCATTCATGAAATAGATTAAAGTCATTAGTAATTACTAAAATCATGGACAGTCAAACAATCCACTAGTTTTAACTTTAGTGTGTGCATTCCAGACTCTTGGCTTCTGGCATAAGCTGCTAGAGCCCTCCATGAAGCGGCATGTAGCAACGCAGGTAGGCGGGTCAAGTGCATGCTGGGTGGACGTGGCTCCTTCAGAAGGGCCTCGGCGTCCTTGGTGCGCCCTGGCTGGGGCTCTGAATGGGCTGCATGGCTGGACCACACAAATCCAGCCCAACAAACCCCCGAAGCAAAAAGAAAGGCGCCGTGAGCCTTGCTTCTGATATGCTTCAGCCAAAACAGTCTTGGCTCTGCCATATGAAGAGTCCTGGCGATGAATCGGCGTGAGCCACTATGCTGCGTGCAACATGCGATGCGTCATGAAACAGGTCGTCAAATCAAATGTGCGACCGAGCCCCCCCTGCAATGCTGGATGCTTGAGTAGCATCCTGCGGCATCTCACACAAGCACAAAAGCCGTATGTATGCGCACCCTTGAAATCCCTTGAACACATCAAAGTTGTGCCTTAGGTTGGAAGATGTTGGAGGCATTGGGAGGCCATCGCTAATAGAGAAGAGCATGAAACGTTGGTCCCTCCAGGGCCTTCTCTGCTTGCAAAGCATCGCCAGCACCCAGCTGTGCTCGTGCACGGTTGACCAGAGTCACGGCAAGCTCCCGAGCGCGTGCTTTGGAAGACACATCATCCTGGCACTTTGTCCGCATTTGTCCGCCACGTCTTTGAAATCATTTTGCAACCACATGCGCCAACGCAGCGTTTGCTTCATCAACAATGTCGCATTCATGGCTTCTTTTTTCAAAGAACCTCCCAACTCTCCACAAAGTCTTTATCTGGCTCCCAGCCTCTGAGCAAACAACTGGAGCCTGGGAGATGACCGCATGGTGAGATCACCACATGTGTCACTGGCATCACTCCCTCCGAACCTCTTCCAGCATACGAAAGGCATTGGTGAAGGCAATGATTGCCTGCAGGTCAAGCCGAAGGCGCCGTTCGTTCGCCGTTCGTTCGACGCATGGAGTTCCGGTCCAGACCCGACGGTCTTACCATGTCACACCCCGACGGTCAGACCCGACGGTCAGACCCGACGGTCCGCATGGTTTCGGAGTTCCGACTGTGAGTTTCTAATAGCTTCTTGTTACTACTAGTAAGGCACCTGTTACTACTAGCGATGCACTTGTTCCTAGTAGCTTATTGTTTCTCATGGAATCAATGTGAAGCTGTGAAGCATGGTGAATCAATCCCTTCGTGTCCATTCGCATCCCCAGCGTCCGGAGCACTCCCGGTCCTGTGGAAAGTCCCCTCGACCAAACGCCTGGACACCTCGGTTAAAAAAAAACTCGCATTAGGACAACACAAAAAGTGGTCACAAATGGTTTGCTATGGATTCACCAAGGACAGTGATGCAAACCAAGAACCAAGTTGTCACTTGTTGTCCAAACTGTCCAAACCATTTGAAGAGTTATGCAAATGATTCACTTTGTTGGCCAAAGCATTGGCTGTTCCCTTGAGGTCAGCATGATGCTAAATGCGCCAAACAATTTTGTTGTTTGTCTGGATGCCGTCGCCGAGTGGGAGACCATCTCGATTGAGCTTGGCGGCTTCATTCTGCCCCTAAGTTGGGTGGGCCGACCACTAGCTGAGTAGCCGACATCAAGATTGATATAACTGTTGTGTGCATATTTGCATCGATGCTTGTGTGCATATCAATACTTAGCAAATTGGCATGTATCATTTTAGACGTGCCAATAATTGTTGTTATATACATATAAGTTAATGGTCAGTGTGATGTCAAACTATGCAACCTCTGAGTGCGGCACCTTGTCCTTTTCCTCATGAATGCCGGCCCTGATGACAAATAAACATCGATCGCACAAACAAAAGGATACCAAATCAAGGAGTGCTTGAGTCGAGCCTATCCCCAGCCATTACTGGGTCGGATTTTTTGTGATGTTCATGCTTTGCTGGATTAAATGTTAATGTCACATTGAATATTGGTCACTTCAGTACTCACATACAGTGACTCCATAAATGTTGCTTAAAGCAGCAGCAAACTTGATTTAAGGAAGTCTTGGACTGTGTACCAGTATGTGCAAAGGATCTGCAAAGTCAGGCGATGAGCTAATTAATGGAGGCTCCACGCAATTCAGCTTGAGCCGTGGCTGCACCGATTTCTCTTCTGCGAATCCGCAAAATCTGCCGATTGATTGCTATGACCGCTGGACCGTTTCGAAAAATTAAACAGGAACAGGTCAGCCAGTCCCGACGAAGCGCATGCAGAATTTCACGAAGCGTATGCTTCAAATGCAACAAGTTTCAGTGTTGACAATTGTTTAAATTGTTTTCAACATCGCACGCAAACACCGAATGTCAAGTTCTCAGGATCTAAACTGCAAGATCGCTAAGCAGTTTCAGTGTGCGTGGGAAGATACCTATGATATCTAACAGAACAAATTTAGCGGCAGGTTGGACCACAAATGATTCTTTGTTGCGTTTGTTGCCAGCAACAATACGTTGTTCAGCGTGCCATCCTGAATAGAGTTCTTACCAAATTTTGCCACTGCCAACAAAATGTTGAATTGCCTTAAATAACCTAAGACTGTTGTGACAAATGCAGGCTGCAATTGATGTGCCAGGTGGTCTGCTCATTGGTTCATGCTCTCTTGGATGAGATGTTCCTGGCCACAATACCAGTTTCCAACACCCATTCCATACAAATTGGTGTTCATCACAAAAACAATCCCAAATAGCCTCCAAAGCTCTCACGTTGGGGAAGTCGAAGACCAATGAAGGGCTCATTGCGAAACCAAACTCCTAAAATTTCACTGCACCGTCAACTGCAGTAGCAAAATTTTATAGTAGGCATTGACATGGGCATGAAACATGGTCCGGTTGTAAACAAAAATTGTCGAGAATGTTCACTTTTGCACGTCCTTCGCCAACATACTCGTCAAAGACACGCTGGAAAGACCTTTTCGGATTCAATCATCAGAGCCCACCCAAACAGCATTTGCGAGAACCCAAGGGCAGAACTGTCCATACCAGCTTCCATGAAAGGGCTGTCCACCTCCAGTTCCCCGTCGTCTGCCTTATTGTGCAACTATTGATTTTCTGCGCCGTCCTCCCCCCCCCCAACGCAAATAAGCACACCTTCGCATGCTAAACCAACACATCAAACCTGTGACTGCTGGGAACCGCGACAATCGCATCTGCGACCAGCTTCATGACAGTCTTCCTGGTACAATGCTCGTGCAATGCTGCTTTTCACAGTTTTACTGGCACATATCGATACCAATCCATACAAATTCAGCAAGAGCCAGTGCTTCTGGGTAAGCACAATCCCCGCCTGACCACCACTGGATCCAAGCCTGAACCACCAGCTAAAAAATATCCAGCATGTAAGTATCTAGAACCCTGGCCCTATTGAAATTCTGAAAGGAACATCCCACAAAACAAGCGCTCAGAAATCGACCCTTTGGCTGAGCTGGTGCCGCTGCGCTGGCTGCCTTGTGCAATCTTTTTGCAACTGCACTTGGAGGAACACGTCAAATGGCCGATGTTCGACTTTCATGTTGCTATAAGGATCTTTGAGGGATGCATTCTGGTTCGCTGGCTGGCAGGCAAGGCCGATGGATGCCGATGTTACAGATGTTATCCGATCTTCTCCTTGTGACCTTGATGCATCTTGATGCCACACTCTCCTGGGATGTCTTGGGCTCATGCCACCGGAGCCGCGGCTTTTTCGCTTTCCTGACCAACCAACGGATGCGTTGAAGGGCATTGTGGCATGACTCAGCATCACATCAAAGCTGCCTGAACAACCTGAGGCTGATCCTCCAGTTGTTGAGCTGCAACAGGAGCCTGCCACAAAGAACAGCACGGCACTCAGAACGACTTGTTTGGATGAAGACAAGGCCTCCAAGCTCTTTGGAGCACTGCTTAAAAATGTAATGTATGTCAGCTGAATCAGCCCAAAAAGTCTGAAACGGTTTGAAGCGGTTGCCTTGACCTTCGTACCTTGGAAGCCCAGTCTGACAATCACGATGGACGGCGCCAGCGAGACGGAGAGGAGCCAAAGCATCTTGGAGCATCTTGGGGCCGGGCGTTCAAGAAGAGCTTCAGCTTGTTTGTTCAGCTCTTCCTCATTGCCTCGGCTTCAGCTTGTCGCCTTATTGCCAATAACCTACTGCAGCTTCCCAGGCTGGTATCTTTCCGTCGTTCCTTTCCTCGTCTATATTGCTACCGTTGATAAGGAACTGCTAGCAATGGATATATAATTTGAGTTGATTCTCTTGCTACGGAATTGGACGTGGTGCGACCGCCAACCACATCGGGAGCGTTTCGAGGTTGGTGAACCGCGTGATTTGGTTTGGTTGTCACCATCCTTCTTTGGAACCTGAAATCTTGGGCTTTCGCAACGTCCAGATCGTGCTGCCACAGAAAAAGGCATCACCACACACACACACACATACACACACCCGCTCGGGTGTCAAGAAGAATGCTTTCCGCGTCTTAGCTGAATCCCGACTTCAACAAAGCTTTGATAATTAAATTGTAAGCTACATTTAGCTCTCGAAACTCTACAAACCTTGGCAGGGAGTCAATCAATTGACGCCTGATAGACCACCCCCTGAGGCCAGGCCGAGGCCGTGGCACCTTTGTGCAATGTCCTGCGCTTGCTCCAGGATCTCTCGCCTTGACAAGGCTCCGAAGCCGAGTTAGAGAAAGTGCCCAGTGGCAAGCGGTGTTACGCCACACTGATGCAGGTTGAATGACCCGAAAGCTGTCCAAGTGCCGCACGCATTGTTGAGCTCATTGTTCTCAATCCTCGCATAACGCGCATATCAGGCACGTCCGCAAACGCTCAAGCAAATAACCTCTGGGGGGCCCTCACACATTGCGTCTGAGTGACTCACGGTCAACCAAAACTGAGAGGCCAGCTGAATCTCACCGCAAAGAAGGTAGGCTCGGCACATGCCGGGTCCATCACCTGCTTCCTGGTGCTGGCACGGTAGATGGAGCATGGTTAGACACCAAACAGCCGGCAAAGTGAACAGGTAGGTGGCAAATAGCACTGTACAGCTCCAACACATGAGTGTCGGAGGCACCGCGGGTATGAATAGGAAACAAGCGACAAGCACAGTACAGTAACGGGTAGTTTAGGTGAGGCAAATCCAACAGCCTAGTACATGGGTAGGTTCACAAACTAGCGGCAACATGATGCTGGCCACTGCGCATCAAGGTTCAAATATAGTAACAATGCTACACCTGCCAGCCTGGCACGACTGAGAGTGAAATTCCAGGAACTCTTATTGTTGAGGTGATGTTTTCCATTTGTATTCTACCATCATACGCCTTCTTTGGGAAAGCCATCTGTTTGCCCAATCATTTTCGACCTATCGATGAAAGGCAAGGCCGGTACCTGGCACCGATTCGCTGAATCCGCTCCACTTCGCCAAGCCTGCATCATCGGGCATGGAACAACCCAAAAGGTCTCAAATGAAAGCCGCCTCCCAAGGAAACCTCGAGGACGGCTTTCATCTGGACGTGCTGTTTTCTGCTCGTATGGGGCACACGGCAAGTTCAGTCAAACACGGGGAATTGTCGCCTAGTCAGTGGGTGGACCGGAGCATATTGAGTACTGAACAACCCTGAAGTCATCCTCATGCATGAGTGGACCCATCGCTCAAGTGGCCAAGAATGGTCCTCTGTTTGGGCAGTCAAGGTGAAAGCTCCGGACAGTTGACACTGACACAATAGAAATAACTCCTCTACAGTAGCTGTCTTGCAGCTTGTGCTAGTGGTTTCCCAACCCTGAACTCAAACCTCGCACCCCCACAATAGTCACAATCTACCATAATTACATCATGTAAGGCAGTCTTGCCTCAGTACGGCGACCAAGACGTAGCATGGCACGGCCACGAAAAAGGAGGGCCTAAAGCAAAGACGCAAGAAATGCGAGTCTCGAGTTTCTTTTGCAGGGGTTCAGCAACCACGCGAAGCTCAAACCAGTCCTATGTTCAACAATATGTTACATGTAATATAAGGTGTTGATATGTTTTCCTATGTTCTTTAGGGTGCATCTGCTTGGTGAACTGATAGTTACAATATGTTCCGTCTTGGTGGCCACACTTGGCCCCAGGTTCGCAGCATCCTGGAGCGCAACCAAGGTCAAACAGTTAAAGGACAAAGCTACTATCCTAAACGCACTTCCGAAACAGCAAACTAGGGACGTGACTTTAACTGACCATATAGGCAAGTTCAACATGTGTATACATTTGTTATTTATTGTTTATTAAAGCAGCATGCTTCTCCTGACTTTGCCGGCTGCAGCCACCGCATCTGCACACGCACGGGCAGCAAGATCCAGGAATGAACCTTGCACGAGTCTGTCAGAAGTCCGGACAGCAGCCAGTCAGTCGAGTCTCAGCTGTGCCTAAGGAACTGGCTCCCTCCCACCTCACCGGCAAGATCCGCCTTCTCCAAATAGATGTGAGCCAACCTGTGGAGATTGGCATGCCCTTCTTTGTGTGAAATAATTTCGCACGCAAGATCGTGTGGAATAGCAAATACAGCACTTCGAATGGGCGTAGGGGGGAAGGGCGATGGAAGGGACATTGAAGAGAAGAAGGCATCAACGACCAACCGGCATCAAAACAAATGCCTTTGGTTTGCCGGTTTGCATTGAGCCAAACATCCAACCTTCTAAACTGCAAGCCCTTACGCACTGGACCTTGCACTTCCATCCACATCCTCTCAAATGTTGGCGTATCTTTGGCTGCCATGTCTGCACAGTCGGCTCAGTCTGAAGGTTGGGCCAAATTGTAAAAAATTTGGCCAAATGTGGAATGTAGGATGCTGCCACGGAACGGCTTAAATACTTTCCTTTGGACAAAAAGGAAGCCAGTTCGTGACAGGCATCAAGAAGAGTCTGGATGGCTTGGGCCCAAAGGTTCTGCCTGCTGCTGCATAGCTGCAGAGCCAGCATAGCTTCGGAGCCAGCCCACCAAAAAAGAAAAAACAACAGAAAGGAATGCGTACTTACTAGACAACGTACAATCTGTTCGGTCTAGTTTAAGACTAGCAACTGGTATACCCCCGAACATGGGTCAGGGGCAGGAAATCTGAACATGGTGCTTGAAACGGCCCACAGGGCTACACCGCTCATCTCATAGAGCTAAAGTGAAACAATCTGTGCAACTTGCGGCTGAAGCCCCAGCTGAATGGAAGCCCTTTTGGCCCTCTCTAATGCCTCAGAATCTCGAACCAGTTCGGCCTTGTCCACCTTCGCTGTAATCATAGGAGCTCCAGGTAAACGACTCTGTGCAGGACGACTGGGCGGCGGCTCATCCGTCTGTGCCGAATCATCGTCAGAGTCCGAGTCATTCAACTGGCTCAAGTGGCTCACACCGCTGTAGCTGCTCATCGCACAGCTGTAGCGTGACTCCGCATCATATTCCACAGTGCGAAAGGTGCGTGTAGCAAGAGCTCTAATCTTGGCCTTTACCATGGACTCGTTCTTGGATGGCTGTGGCTTGGGCCAGGTGGATGTGGCTTCAACGGGTTTGATGAAGTATTGACGCAACATTGCGGTGAACTCTTCGAGGTTGATGCCACCGTCACCATCCATGTCGGCTTCTGCAACCATGGCCGTGGCCTCAGACCTCTTCATTGAGGGAAAGATGCGAAGGAGGTCTGCACATGAGATCTTCCCGTCCATATCTCGGTCCATGATGCGAAAAGCAGCTTGCAAACAACGTTTGCTGTCGGTGTGCTTTTCCTTTCAGGCGAGACAAATATATCATAATATCCAAATATATCGATCTATATATTACTGCTGTATGATGTTGTAAAATGCTGTATGTACATATATAGATACATACTCTGTATGTGTATATGTATACATGTGTGTGTGTTCCACAACATGAATATTTATGAAATATATGTACAAAAAAAACAAGATGGAACCCACGAACCCGAATGCAAACACGATCGAAAAACTAATATGTCCAAAGGACACTCTTGTAGGACACTCTTGCGGGACACTCTGTGGGACACTCTTGTAGCACACTCTTGTGGGCCACTCTTGTAGGAAACTCTTGTGGGACACTCTTGTAGGACACTCTTGTGGGACACTCTT